TAGTAACAAGGCAAACATAAACATAGACAGAAACATACAGTTCTCAAAATAAATATAAACATGTACATTGATAATAGTAATGTGCACTGTAATTAGAATATTAATTGTGAGCAATGTTTATGTCATTTTTTTTCTCTCAGAACAGAATATAAATAGACAGATAGTCACACATTGACAACACCATCATTGCACAATAGTAATGTTTATAAAGAAATAGAGTTCAAAATCTGACATACACATTGCTTACAATAAATACAAACACCAACAGTAATGACACAAACATGAACGGTAATTTAAATGAATGCAAACAAACACAGTCACAATATAGACATAAACAGAGATCAGAATAAATTTTGACATATACAGTGACAACACAACCATGCACAGTAACCAGAATGAACACTATTTAATTAGGTGATAGCACAGACATACACAGTGATCAATGGAGTGAAAATACAAACATACAACGTTGTCATTATATATATACATACAAACACAGACAATGACAAAACAGAATGGAAACAGCAATCAGGGTATAAACAGACACATAAGCTATGCTTACAGCAACAACACCAACATGCACATTTATAATAATGATTAAAAACATACAGACTGAAAAAACTGACATACACATTGCTCACAATAAATATAATCACAAAGAGTGACAACACTAACATTCACATTAATCAAATCAATTATGTGCAGACACAAACAATTACGACATAATCATACAGTGATCAAAATAAATATTAACATGTGAAGTGACAAGAGTAACATGCACCGTAATGAGAATGAACACAAGGAAAAAGAGTGAAAACACAGCCATACACAGTCATCACAATATAGACAAACACATTCAGAAAATACAGTATAGACACAGCAAACAGAATACATGTGTAAACAGACACATAGACATTCATTGACAGCATGATCATTCAGCGCAATAGTAATTTTTACAAACAAATAGAGTGACTAAACTGAGATACACATTGCTCACAATAAATACAAACACCAACAGTAATGACACAATCATGAAATATTAACTGTTCTTACAGCAACAACACCAGCATGCACAGTTATAATAATGATTAAAAACATATAGACTGACAAAACTGACATAAACATTGCTCACAATAAATGCAAACACACAGTAATGATAATCATTACAAACAAACACAGTCACAATTCAGACATACACAGTGATCACAATAAATTTTGACATGTACAATGACAACACAACCATGCACAGAATGAATACTATAGTACTATAGTACTGTGGTTCGATCTATCTGACAAGGGATTCTTGCTAAATTGCAAACAACCAGGCCGCTTAAACATTTAAGATGTCTGGCACGCCTACTAAAGCTACTAAACAATAATGAGTTACCCCCCTAGCAGCTTCAGTAGATGTGACAGAAATCTAAGCGGCCTAGGTTCATTTAGTGAGAAAACCCTTGGGGATGGATTGATCCTGTTAGATCGATCTAGGTATGGGAACCCAGTCAAGATGAATACAAACACAGTCACAGTGATCAGAATATATGCAAACACACTGTTATGTGTTTGTTTATATTCTTATTACTGTATACACCCATATTGCCACTTTATGTGTCTCAATATTTTTAATTGCTCTGTTTATATTTGGCACACAGAATTATATACTTGCCTTTATGAATGTGATGTAAAGCTGGATGGTAAATGAATAAGTGTGTTGGTTTGTGTACTGCATTGTACCACACACACAGCACTTCAAGGCACTTGCTCTGATGCCATTGCTCTTAGTTCTTCAGATTTGTAGATATGAGACCGATCAAGCACTTGTGTTAGATTTACTGCTTTACTATAAATCAACCATTACATATCCAGGTGGTCATGAAAATTTAGAAAAATTAGCTAGCCTTGATCAATTAACCAGATGAAAAGAATATGAAAACAAATAACTTTCCCATAGTGTCTCAGCAGTTGTATTATTCTTGGCTTTCAGTTAATGCAACTGCTCATAATGCAGTGACAATTGCTTAAATGCCAGCTAAAGAATTTAATAGGCAAGGGTTAGCCTGGTTTTTAACCCCTCAGGTGAGAAAAGTGAGGGGACTTGGTTGAGAGTTTGGGAATGCATATTATGAAGACAGCTAAATCTTGGTGCGTATAAAGGGGATGGTCTTTTAAAATCGAATGCAGCCCATTTTTTAAAAATATAAATAACTATCTTTTCCAAAATCACAATGATTGACTTGTTTGAATCATGTCTCTTACTCATTCTCTTTGTTATCTCATAGAATTTTAACAATACATTTGCAAGATCTCCTCCTCTTCTGTCTTTTCGAAATCCATTAAAATTTATATGAATCGTAACGATCTCTTTTTTTGAACAACATTTAATTCCTTCAAAATTTTTTCCTGTCCCCCTTAAACAAAGTGGTCCGAGCAGTGCTTCTCTGGCCTCAGGGAGAGAGGGGAACAGTGGGTTCTCTAATTCAAGATCACTTTTTTCAGGTCTGCAAAAGTCAATTGTTTTATTATATAATTTAAAACCTAAATGTCAATGTCCTCCAAGACAACATCAAAGTAGCAGCTTTGCTATCATCCACCATGTTGCTATCCCATTTGTTCTCTTTACTTTGAACATTCAAACCATGGATTACCTCAGATTTCCACGAATCAGATTGTACTTCATGCTAATTGTAAAGAATTTTTAATTGGTAATACACAATATTTTGGAAAATAATTGAAAATGCATAATTAAAATTCACAATCAAAAAATCAACAAAATCACAATAATATTAAATTTCTTTTATTCTCATGCTTCACATTTTTTTCATAATCGCCAATAGTTTCATAATAGTTATCACGTGTAAGTGTGCAACACAAATATACTCCCCTTATTTTCTACCTTACATTTGTTACATATTAACTTTGGATAAACAACAGAAGCTGCATATGTAAGCCTTTCAAAATTTTTCTTCTTTTATTCAGTACGCATATTTTGTTTGTTGTCAAGTTTCTAAATATACTGAGCTTTGTCAATGTGATCAGTGGAACAGCTATTTTACTCTTCACTGAAAATACAGGCATAACTGGCATTATTATTATTATTGTTACCATAACATTACACAGGCTTTCCATAGCTTTCAGAAGTTTTTGGTTGGTATTTTTTAATGTCACATTATAGGCATATATATAAATATCATTAAATAGTCTGGTAACAATCTTTTGTTCACAGTTTTATGGCAATAGCTGTACGTAACATTAAGTTGCACATGCTGTAAAGGAGATACACCTCCCTCCTGAGTTTAACCAGCATAGCACCAGTCATATGTACACTAAAAATTGCCAGAGATACAGCTGTATATATGTGCTTTAAGAGATGGAAAGGAATTAAGACACAGATATAATGCACTCAGCCTCCATTTAGCTGATTTTACTACATAACAGCCAGGCTCATAGTTGTCAATTTCTCAAAACATACTGGTACAGCTGTGTGGCTAAAATAACCGATGTGAAAAAAGCCTATAAAAAAAGTCAAAAGTCAAGCCCATGAACAAAATCTGAATCTCCACATTCTACTTCCTACATATCAGTTACACCTGTTACCTCTATTTTTATTTCAGAGATATTCAACACCATTTACTAGCAATATTTTATCTGACTTTTTCACTATAATGATATTACAACACAATGCTGTGGAACTTAGAATAAAAGACAAATGGCACCAAATATCACTTCTCTAGAACTTATTGCTGTTACCATAATCTCAATTTTTTTCCTCAACACATAAGAAACAAGATTTCAGGGCTAATAGTGATAATAATAACACAATTGCCATAAAAAATAAGTGGTTGGTTTAAGAATGTTCAATGGATCTCTAGCTCACACAGAGGGGGTACAACAAAAATGAAGTTCAAATATAATTATTTTCCTAAACATGTTAACATTATACATAACAAAGCTGATCAAATCAGACCTAACCTGAAAGACTGAATAAAGGGGTGTAGATATATTTTTCAATGAGTATGAGCAACGTAATAGCTAAAGGGAGACAGAGACTAAGCCCTGATATCACTGTCACCATTAGTATCCTTTAAACTAATATAAATATCATATGAACCTCATATATAATGCACATCTACAATGTAACAGCTGCCTATCTAGCCAACATTTTGACTACATTAGTATCCTTTAAACTAATATAAATATCATATGAACCTCATAATGCACACCTACAATGTAACAGCTGCCTATCTAGCCAACATTTTGAAAAAGAAACAAAATTGTTTTGGACCTCATATTACTGCCTATGTCACAAACCTGCCACCACTAACAATACTACAAATTACAAACTTCCATCTTGGAATTCAAACTGATGGATGAATTGCATAAAGACAGCAATCATAACATCTAATCTGCAATGTATGTTTTTTTTCGTTTCAAGAATTAAAATTTTGTAATATGTGTATGTTTGAAAACTGCATATTTATTGTATATTCATATTAGTATATAGTTAATCTATGACCCCATTCCCATATATTTTAGATCCATCTATCCCTTTGGAGAGTCTCACTAGATTACTGTCAGCTTAGCCGGCTTAAGCGTCTGTCCCGCCTACTAAAAGCTGTAAGGGGGCAATTAACTATGAGCTTAACTAGTGACAGGCTAGTATCACAGCTCATCTCTTGGTTGTGTACTGGTTTCTGGAAAGACAACAAAAACAGAGCTAAGCAACTTGTAGTAAATTTATTGAATATTAACTATACCACTTGGAATACAATTGCCAATTGCAACTTGAGCATGACACAATTACATAATACTTATGGCTTTATTTTGCAATTTCAATATGCATTTTGTGGACAACTGATAAAAATGAATGTGCATGGGACAAAATATGTACAAAGTATAGCCGTTCCACGTTTCCTTTATTTGATATAAATCAACCAGGTTTGAAAATGTTACTAAAATGTCCTCAATAAAAAAATAAAGAAAGCTGATAGCATGTCTGGAGGCTTTAGGATAGTAGTTGAGTAATGACAGGACAATAAATTATAATAAAAAGTGATTGGAATTATGTTTGAATACAGTTTTATAATGAATGAATACGGTAGTGTGCCAATGAGACTACTTTAAAAATAACATCATTTTGATCGAATAAATTGAAATACAGCAATAAAAATCTTGGTAAAATATGAACTGTTCAGGCCATTCAACTTACCAAAAATATTGCACTTTACCTGAAGTGCTGCTCACTTACACTTCTTATCTAGTTTAACAGACTTGAAAGCTATAACTTTTACTAACACACTACACTGTTTATCATCAATGAATGACAGTAAAAAGCCTCTGTACATTTCAACTTTTCTTTTTACACGTGACCCCTTTAGTCTGGTGGGAAGGAGGGGTTCACGTGCAACCCCGTGAAAAACAGTGGATACCTATATTTTCTTAACCCTTGATGACTAAATTTTTTGATTTTTAGATGTTCCCAGAGTGAAAAAATGTCCCATGGGGTTTTAATTTAATGATATGTAACACCCTGTGGCTCAAATAACCACATTTGAAATAATGGGGGTAGGGGAAGAAAATTATCTATAATGTGCAATTTAAATAAGATATAAGAATGGTTTATATATTTTTATCTAGGTAAAGGGTTGCTCTAAAAATACAAGTAATAAAAGTTATGTAATACTGAACCATGTCTAAGTAAAATGGTATCAAAGGTCAAATGAGGTCAAATTTGAGAAATTTTCAGAAAAATAAAGCAATAAAGTTCATCTGTATAGAGAATGTGAGCCAACAACATACTTTTAAGGGTATATTTGATAAATCCCATCTATATTACAAATGTTTAATGGTCATTTGTGACTTAGTTTTACAGTTTGTGAGAATTATGATGGATATGATTAGCGTATGGGAGTATCAGTTAAATTTCAGATCAGTGGGGGTAGGGGAAGAAAATCACTCATAACTTGAAATTTAAGTAAGATATAACAATGATTTATATATCATTGTATAGCTAAAGGCTTGTTCTAAAAACATAAATAATAAAAATTATGTAATGCTAAACCATAATGGAGTAAATGGGGTCAAAGGTCAAATGAACTCAAATTTGAGAAATTTTCAGGAAAATAAGCCAACATAGTTTACTTATTTAGAGGATTAGAGCCCACAGTACATTTTAGAGTGTTTTGTGTAAGTTCCATCAATTAAGCAAATGCAAAATGGTCTATTGGTATTTAATTTTACAGTTTGTGGAAATTATAATGGATTAGGATAGGATTGATTAACATATGGGTACTGACACTATCAGTTCAATTTCAGAACAATGGGGGTAGGGGAAGAAAATCACCCATAATCTAAAATTTAAGTTATATATAACAATGATTTGTATATCATTGCATATCTAAAGCATTGCTCTAAACATAAAAGTAATAAAGGTTATGTAATACTGAACCATCTCAAAGTAAAAGGGGGTCAAATGAGGTCAAATTTGAGAAATTTTCAGAAAAATAAAGCAATGAAGTTTATCTGTATAGAGAATGTGAGCTAACAATATACTTTCTAGTGTATGTTTGGTAAATCCTATCTATATGACAATGCTTAACGGTTATTTGTAACTTAATTTTACATTTTGTCATAATTATGATGGATATGATTAGCGAATGGGAGTATCAGTTAAGTTTCAGATCAGAGGGGCTAGGGGAAGAAAATCAATCATAACTTGAAATTTAAGTAACAATGATTCAAATATCATTGCATAGCTAAGGAGTTCCTCTAAACACATATTAAGTAATTAAAATTATGTAATACTAAACAATTATGGAGTAAAATGGGGTCAAAGGTCAAATAAGGTCAAATTTGAGGAGTTTTCAGAAAAATAAAGCAATAGAGTTTATTTATTTAGAGGGTTAGAGCTCACAGTATATTTTTGGAGTATGTTGTGCAAATCCCATCTTTATAGCAAATGTTTTATAATTTTTTAAGACTTAATTTTACATTTTCTGAGATTTATCAATATGGTGGGGGAGGGGGGGGGGTGTAGTTCAATTGCCGAAAATGGGGGTAGGGGAAACAAAATCATTAATAGTATAGGATTTAATTAAGATATAACATTGATTATATATCACTGTGTTGATAAAAGAGAGCTCTAAACATTTAAGGAATAAAAATTGAATCATGGCTAAGTTAAAAGAGATCAAATGTTAAATAAGGTCAAAATTGAGACATCATCAGGAAAGTAAAATAGAGGTCAAATTTGAGTCATTTTCTGGAAAAAAAACAATAATTATTTTACAGAGAACTTGAACTTAGATTATGTTTCTTTAGGGTAAGTTGTCTGTTTCAATTATTTCATGGGAATTGATTTTAAAGTTTGTTAAATTTAAAATGCAACTCTTACAGCAGAGGGGTTCAGCATAATTGCCAAAAATTGGGGCTAGGGAAAAAATCTGTTCATAGTAGGGAATTTTTAAGTAAGATGTAGCTATGATTTATGTATCATTCTGAAGCTGAAGGGTTGTTCAAAATACATCAGAAATAATTGTTATATAACAGGCCCGTAGTCAGCAATTTCAAAAGGGGGTTCTTTTTCTGAAAAAGTGGACCTTTTTCCATAAAAACTTCATGAACCTGGATCAAATTTTACCCAGAGTGAACCTTTTGCCAGCTTTTCTTTCAATTTCCCACCAAAAGGGGCGGTTCTTTCAAACCGCCCCAAACCCCCCTGGCTACGGGCCTGTATAAAATTGAGACATGGTGAGGCTTAATGGGGTCCAAGATCAAACTAGGTAAATTTGTAGGCATTTCTAGGAATATAAACCAATAAAATTTATATTATTTATACTTGACTTGAACCTAAAATATGTTTTTTAGACACATGTCCGTCCCTATTACAAGGACTTGATGGAATATTTGGATTTTTTACAATAAGTGAGTACTGCAGATGGGATCAATTGCATAAAAAATGGAGACAGGGAAAGGACACCCTTCATAGTAGGGAATTTAATTAAGATTTACCTTAGATATATCACTGTGCAGCCAAAATGTTGCACATAACATATAAATAACACATTTTATGTAAAAGTGAATCATATATATATATATATATATATATATATATATATATATATATATATATATATATTGGTTAAGTTCATATGTATTACAATGATTTGATGGGGGTATTAGAGTTTGTTTTACAGTAGGTGAGATATAAAACCTATACAAGCTATGCAGATGGGTTTAATTCAATTGTCGAAAAAAAACAGGTGTAGGGGAGAAAAATCCATATCATTTGATATTTACATTATTTAAATGTTTAGAGGGACCATTCAGCAACACAATGATATATAAACTATAGTTATATCTTACTTAATCCCCTTACTATTAATGATTTCCTTCTCCTAGCTGCCCCCATTTGTGGGCAATTGAACTGAGATCCCCCTACAGTACATATACTAATAAGTTGTATCATTCATAAATATCAGAAACTCTAAAATAAAGTATTTAAACTCCATGAAATTTTTGTAACAAAAATTTAATTTATCAAAGATATCCAAAAATCCTAATTTGAACTCATGTTCTCTGAATAAAGAAACTTGACTGCTTCAAGTATGAGACCTCATTTGCCAGTTGCCCCCGTTTTACACAGACATCATTCAATTTTACATAATATTTGCAATTAAAATGTTTAGAACAACCCTTCAGGTATATAAGGATATACAAATCACAGTCATACCTTACTTAGAATACCTCCTATGAGTGATGTCCTTTCCCTGCCCCCACTTTATGGCAATTTAACTGAACACTTCAGAAGTACTGGTATCAGACATAGATCTAAATGCTGTAAAATGAATTCCCAAAACCCTGTTAAATAACTAAGATTTAAACTGTATTTACCAATCATACTCTAAAGAAACATTTTCTATGTTCACATTTTCTATATAAAATATTACTTTATTTTTCTGAAATTTTCTCAAATTTGACCTTATTCGTCCTTTGACCCCCTTTTACTTTGAGATAGTTCAGTATTACATAATTTTTTATTACTTTTATGTTTAGAGCAATCCTTTAGCTATGCAATGATATACAAATCATTGTTATATATTACTTAAATTTCAGGTTATGCGTGATTTTCTTCCCCTACCCCCATTGATCTGAAATTGAACTGATAGTATCCGTACCCATATGTTAATCATATCTATCATAATTTCTACAAACTGTAAAATTAAGTCTCAATAGATCATAAAACATTTGCTATATAAATGGGACTTACACAAAACACTCTAAAATGTACTGTGGGTTCTAATCCTCTAAATAAGTAAACTATATTGGCTTATTTTCCTGAAAATTTCTCAAATTTGACCTCATTTGACCTTTGACCCCATTTACTCCATTATGGTTTAGCATTACATAATTTTTATTATTTNCTTATTCGTCCTTTGACCCCCTTTTACTTTGAGATAGTTCAGTATTACATAATTTTTTATTACTTTTATGTTTAGAGCAATCCTTTAGCTATGCAATGATATACAAATCATTGTTATATATTACTTAAATTTCAGGTTATGCGTGATTTTCTTCCCCTACCCCCATTGATCTGAAATTGAACTGATAGTATCCGTACCCATATGTTAATCATATCTATCATAATTTCTACAAACTGTAAAATTAAGTCTCAATAGATCATAAAACATTTGCTATATAAATGGGACTTACACAAAACACTCTAAAATGTACTGTGGGTTCTAATCCTCTAAATAAGTAAACTATATTGGCTTATTTTCCTGAAAATTTCTCAAATTTGACCTCATTTGACCTTTGACCCCATTTACTCCATTATGGTTTAGCATTACATAATTTTTATTATTTATGTTTTTAGAACAAGCCTTTAGCTATACAATGATATATAAATCATTGTTATATCTTACTTAAATTTCAAGTTATGAGTGATTTTCTTCCCCTACCCCCACTGATCTGAAATTTAACTGATACTCCCATACGCTAATCATATCCATCATAATTCTCACAAACTGTAAAACTAAGTCACAAATGACCATTAAACATTTGTAATATAGATGGGATTTATCAAATATACCCTTAAAAGTATGTTGTTGGCTCACATTCTCTATACAGATGTCCTTTATTGCTTTATTTTTCTGAAAATTTCTCAAATTTGACCTCATTTGACCTTTGATACCATTTTACTTAGACATGGTTCAGTATTACATAACTTTTATTACTTGTATTTTTAGAGCAACCCTTTACCTAGATAAAAATATATAAACCATTCTTATATCTTATTTAAATTGCACATTATAGATAATTTTCTTCCCCTACCCCCATTATTTCAAATGTGGTTATTTGAGCCACAGGGTGTTACATATCATTAAATTAAAACCCCATGGGACATTTTTTCACTCTGGGAACATCTAAAAATCAAAAATTTAGTCATCAAGGGTTAAGAAAATATAGGTATCCACTGTTTTTCACGGGGTGCACGTGAACCCCTCCTTCCCACCAGACTACTTTTTGAGGTGCATTAACTGCTTTTTGAGGAATTCAAGCAAGATGTCAGCATTCAAAATCTCACTGACCTTGTGCTTCACTGTGGTCAGCACTTAGTGAACTTAGTGTGGGTTTATTTCTGGTAAAGTTTTCAAATATCCTCCTTGCTTCATTGTCATATTCTTCCCACTCAGCTACTATTCTCTTAGCTTCATTCAGCTTATGTTCTTTGGTCTGCGGGTTATTACACTGGAGTAAACAAAAGGTGAAATATAATCCCCACTCAAGTTACAAGTTACATTTCTTACAAAATAAAATAAAAATGAAATAGTGACTTCGTTTTTAGCATCAGGTTTCAAAAGTTAAATATGCTCCAGAACTTTGCATTAAACTGAAACATTCAAGTAGTCACAACCTCATGACAAGGCAGCAAAGCTGTCAAATGTACAGACAAAAAACAGAAAATGCAGTCTAGGAGGAGAAGCGGTAATGGTGACTTGTATCCCATGCGACCCTGCGGAGCTCAAGGAGCCGGCGGAGTTGACACACGCTGGTGGTACTAATGATAATCAAACAGAGCTGGTTTTCTAATTTGGGCTGTATGTCCATCCTAAGAATCATTCTTGTAAGTTAAAAAAAAAATAGTAAGTAACACAGTTTTCTTTCTATAACAAATGTGCCAAATGAACCATAAAATCAGGTTGATATCAGAGTTCAGATGCCAATTGAACATATCACCTATTTCAATATAGGTGAACATCATTCCTATGTGAACAGGCAAGATGTATGAATGATACACAGGCTAACACACCAGGCTTTGCTGTTTCTAAATAACAGTTAAGTTGCAAATATCACNAAAACCAGAAAATAAAGATGCAAAAATAGGTAATTCTATCAATTTTGATGCAATAATAAATAATGCTTATAATAGCACAGGTCGGTCAACACTGAATTTTAATCATGCACAACAGGTAACATGGTCAATAACAGGAGCGGATCCAGAGATATTTTCTGACAGTATTCCAAAGTATCTTTTTTATCCATCCTCCATTTTTGATGGTCTTCCAACAGAAAAAAATACATACCCCAATGTAAACCCAGAAGATGGTCTCAATCCATCCCTTCAATAAGATTACAGTTTCAGGACCATGAGTTCAAATTCACATAATGAAAGTCTCAATATTTAAAAAATGATGACAGTGCACAAAATAATATTAATATAATATAATTATAATATTGCTCAGAAGTTACAGATATTCAAATTTCATGAAACAATGTCATTTTTGACCAGAAGTGCTCGCACTAAAATGCAGTACGGTAAAGTCTGGAAAATTTCGTCACTTAAAAATTAATTAATATTTTTAATTGTGTAAATCCGACTAATTTTTCAAAATTACCTCTCCCCGACTCCTGGGTATGACGAAATTTTCAAAAATCCGGCCTTTGGGCTTTTATCCTTGGCTACTGTTATCTTTGACCCTCCTATATGGTGGGATATTTATTACTACTTCCTAAGTCATTTTCTGGTGGTAAATAATAATCTATTTATTAGTGCATCTCGATTAAGTTATATTTAACTTACTGTACCCGAAAACATGTCGAGAATTATTTTCTCGGTAAGAAACATTCCTCCTGATAGAGGAGAAGGATCAAGATAAGCCTAATTGCAACCTTGCACTTGGGAACGTTTGTTGCATGCAGGGCTTTGCCCAGGATTGAGTGTCAGGCCTTCTAAAATTACCATCTGTAACTTCCTAAAAATTTACAGGGAGTTAAAATAATGATCTCCCGTTGACGATCTTCCGCAATGTAAGTTCCTTGAACTAATATGAAAACTGCATTTTATTATTGCTTACTTCGCGAACAATCACCCGATGAAGATGTGAAAATTGCCATTTCGTCTAGCAAGGATCGCGAACGATCTCCCTTTGATATGATCTTACGCGAACAAAGTCCTGAGAATATTACGCTAACGATTCTCCGCCGAAGATATACCGTGAGCAGGGCAGGGGGCGGATTAACGATAAAATGAAAATGAATATTTCAAAAAAATCCAAAGTGCGTGTGTGTTTGGGGGGGGGGGGGGGG